TCTTTTCCAATGATTCATGCCTTCTCATGATGTGTCCAAAGTACGAAACCTAACTCTCGTCATCTTGGCTTCTAGTGATATCTCTGGCTTGATCTGCTCTAGGACCCCTTTGTTTGTCCTTTTGGCTGTCCATAGAATCCTCAGCATTCTTCTCCAGCAACACATTCTCTCAAAGGAGTTAATTTTCCTCCTGTCTTCTTTCTTGACTGTCCAGCTCTCATATCCATCCATGGGAATAGGGAATACAATGGCTTGTATGATTCTGACCTTTGTGCTGAGTTGTATGTCTTTGCATTTTAGGATCTTTTCTAGTTCTTTCATAGCCACCCTCCCCATTCTTAATCTTCTGATTTCCTGACTGCAGTCCCCATTTCTACCAATGTTTGATCTCAGATATGATAACTCTTTTAGTATTTCTATTTCCTCATTGTCTAGTTTGAATGTATGTAAGTTCTCTGTGGTCATTATCTTTGTTTTCTTTATGTTCAACAGTAAGCCTGTCTTTGCACTTTCTGGTCTGATTTTCCTTAGTAGTTGTTCCAGGTCTGGGAGGTTCTCTGCTAGTATTATGGTGCCCTCAGCATATCTCTGATTGTTGATATTTCTCTCCTCCTGTTTTCACTCCTCCCTCTTCCATTTCTAAGCCTGCTTTCCTTACAATATGTTCTGCATATAGGTTGAATAGGTAGGGTGATAAGATGCAGCCTTGTCTGACTCCTTTGCCAATCGGGAACCATTCTGTTTCTCCATCTTCTATTCTGACAGTAGCCTCTTGTCCTGAGTACAGATTCCTCATTAGAGTATCATATGTGTTAGCACTCCCATGTCTTTAAGGGTGTTGCTGCAGTCTCTTGTGTCTCTTTTTTTGTGGATGGGGATGTATATTGATCGCTTCCAATCTGTTGGCCGTCGTTTTGTTTTCCATATCTGTTGACATATCTTGGTTAGCACTAGAGTTGACTCTGTCAATGTGGATTGCAACAGTTCTATTGGAATATCATTTGTTCCTGGAGTTTTGGAGATCCAAAATGAAGCAGTAAGAGCTTCCTACTTGGAAGAGAGATTTGAACCTAGCCAATTGACTAAGGTTACAACTCTATGCAGTGTGCATACATGAATGTTATTATTGCTTATTTCAGAGCAAACATTGAATGAGGCAGGAAGCTTATTTTATCATTAATTTTGATGCTAATATTTTGGAAGACTGTGTGGAAATGGAGAACAGAAGTTAGACCTGGATCAATGGGTAGCCTCTGTTGATCTGCAGTAGATCCACAAGAGACTCTGACTTCCAACTGATGATGATGATTAAGACCTGTTCACTTTCTTCCATGAGATGAAAATTGCTAGAATGAAGTTGTTGATATGGATGAGCACAGCTGCTTGTATTTTTGTACTGTTCTTGAGAGCATGGCTATTGGGTCTGTCTTGTTTGTTTGTTTGATTGTATGCTGCCTTTCTCCTGAAGTGGAGCCCAAGTCAGAGCATAAAAAGAATCAATTAAAACCTAACAATAAAAATGTAAAAACAATTAAAATCATCACATTAAAATAATATAATATATAATATAAAATAATACAAATCATTTTAAAGGCACACAAAAGTTTTAAATTAAGGCACCCCATGTAATAATCCTCCCTGTAAGCAACAATACATTGAAAGCCTACTTAAACAAAAAGGTCTTTTCCTGACTATGGAGTTTATTACACGGGGATCCCCATACAAAATCGCTCTTTAAAGTAAAAAAAAGCTGCAAAAGCGGAAGATTTCTCCCGTTTTGCCCTGTGTGAAATGTGAAAGCGCTGTTAAAAGGAGGTTAATC